AACCAACTTGGGCATGATGTGAGAAACTGATGATGTGGCAATAGCAATATGTAAAGTCATGTCAATCCTTCAGCCATATCCCCACATGAGCTTACAATTATGTTTTGAGATAGGAATAGCCTTTCCTAATATGAAAGACAACTTGTGCATGATGTCAAAAAGTAATGCTACAGCACTGGCCATATGATGGCAATCCTTCAACATCATCCCCATAACATAGATAGGGCCAAGGACACCATAAACTACATGTCAACAACAAACTTTTGTAGTATCAAAAAGTGGACACTACAAACTTTTCTATAAAAAAAAGCGCAACACTACAAACTTTTGTAGTCTCAAAAAGTGGACACTACAGACTTTTCTAATGAAAAAGCTCAACACTACAAACTTTTGTAGTCTCAAAAAGCAGAAGTGCACACTACAAACTTTGTAGTCTCAAAAAGCGCACACTACAAACTTTCTAATGAAAAAGCGGACACTACAAACTTTTGTAGTCTCAAAAAGCGGACACTACAAACTTTGTAGTCAGGATAACCTTTTGACCCTAACCCTAACTTTGTAGTCTAAGTCCAAGCTTTTGTAGTCCAAGTCCGACTTTTGTAGTCTTTTATAGTCTATCAGTAAACTTGGTAGTCTTTTGTAGTGTATTAGTAAACTTTGTAGTCTAAGTTCAACTTTTGTAGTCTTTTATAGTCTATCAGTAAACTGTGTAGTCTAAGTCCGACTTTTTTGTAGTCTATCAGTAAACTTGGTAGTCTATATCTGACTCTTATAGTAGGGCATGAACCTTCCTTTTTTGGTCATTTTTCCCACGATACAATAATTGTAGCCCTTTCTTTTAGCTTTCTAAATATACTGAAATCATGTTATTTGGTTTTGTTTTCATGGAGAAAAACACAAAAAACAAAAAAAAACACGACACTTTTGAAATTCCTTTACCTCATATCTCCACAACAAAAGCACTTCAGAACATAATTCAAACAGATTCGGGAAGCTACAGTGTAGGGCTACAATTTTCGTTTTTTGACCATTTTTGGTAATTGGTCATGTGACCATCATCCCAACATCCCCTTACATGGACCCTGATAGGTAAAGTCATTCTCCTCTTGGTTTTCTTCACTTTTTAGTCAAACCAGGTGATATTTCCCTTTTGGGATGTACCCTGAACTGGACCCTGAAGGCAGTGCCTGATGTTCAAATCGCCATGATATTGGCCAATTACTAATGAAATTTCCAATGATATTCCCCAGTTATCTAAGGAAATTCCAAAGATATCGCCCAGGTTTTTAATGAAAATGCAATGATATTGGCCAAGTAGCTAATGAAATTTCCAAGGATATCGCCCAGGTTTCTAATGAAAATTGCAATGATATCAGCCAGATAAATAATGAAAATCGCAATGATATTGACCAGGTAGCTAATGAAAATTGCAAATGATATTGGCCAGATAACTAATGAAAAGTGCAATGATATCAGCCAAGCAGCTAATGAAATTTCCAATGATATCGCCCAGGTATCTAATGAAAATTGCAATGATATCAGCTAGATAACTAATGAAAATTGCAAATGATATCGCCCATGTAGCTAATGAAATTTCCAATAATATCGCCCAGGTATCTAATGAAAATCACAATGATATCAGCCAGATAACTAATGAAAATCGCAATGATATTGGCCAAGCAGCTAATGAAAATTGCCTAATGAAAAGGCATGGTAACTGGAATGATTCCTATCATAAAGACTGTGGACTTATACACAGGGAGCCCTAGGCAGTTACCTTATTTTTATGATAAAGGTGGTACCCACTAGTGGCGAACGACGGTGATGGTGGCATGAAAGTTGTTAACTTGTCTTTTGTGCCATGCATGCAAGTTTGATCAAGACATTACGTAATGTATTTCTATTTGTTGTTTCTGAACGCGAACCTGGGATGGACCTTTCCCCTTTCCCCTTTCCCCTTTTCAATGACGAAGTCTTCGGGTTCGATAACGCAATGTCCTCGGGAATAGACACCTTCAAAGGGACGACAGCACATTCTCAACAGCACATTCTCAGTACAATGCGTCGGGCTTCAACACTTTAGGTATCACATGGGGTACTTGGGTCGACTGCACGGGGGTTGTGAATGGTGTTGGAAGGAAAAGGGCGTGTAGCACGGATTGCATAGCCATTGCTTGAGAATTAAAGAGATCCGAAGGACGGGCTGTAGGATGACGTATCTACGTACTATCAGAACGTATCGCGCTGCAATGCAAACGAGCTCACAGGAATGAGAGCAACTGGGGTGAAGCAAAGCGCAAACTGGGTCGGTGATTGCCAAGCAGGAACCATTTGCTCTGTAAGATTCACGAGTTGCGATTTGAAGCAGCATACTAGGACACAGCATGACTTGGTCGATTTAACCCCGTCCCAGGCGAACAGCAAAGCGCGAATTCGCTCAGTGCCACTCGATGCGATGTTGAAAGCGCGGGGGGAAACAAATCCAGAGTCAAGGGATTCTTGCAGGGAAGACTAGCAATGCTGGGGGTTGGGCAGCAGAATGCTTGACGTCAACAGAGGCACTGACCTGGTTCATCTAACAGACTGAACCGAGTTCCAGCTCAGGGGTGAAGCATGTCTGGCCAAGGTTGAATCGCAATATGATGAAAGTATCTTGACAATCACTCTAGAATGCTTGACGTCAATGGAGGCACAGATCTGGTTTATCCAACAAATTGAGTTCCAGCCCAAAGGCGAAGCATGTCCCTAGATCTTCTTATTATCTAGAAATCAAGGTTAAAGACTTGAAAAAGGGCGTAAAGAGATGACATGTTGGCGGAGCGCGGCAAGTATGGGTTCACAAAGGAGCAGCAGTTGAGTTCATCATCGAGCAGTCTCCTCCAACGCCTGGACAAATAGGTCTGTTTACGCCTTCGGAAGGTATCATGAAAGTCGGTCGAAATGAGTTCATAAAGGAGCAGCGGTTGATCTGTTCACATTGCCTGATGTCAAGAGTTCATCTAGCAGGTTCAAACCCTTCCTACCCAAGGGCAAAGCTTGAATTCGCTCAATGTTCAAGGTATGTATATGCAAGGGTCATCAAGGTCCTCGCTGACGACTGGCATGTTCAAACCCTTCCTAGCCAAGGGCAAAGCGCGAATTCGCTCAGTGGCCAAGGTATGTACTTGCAAGGGTCATCAAGGTGCTCGCTAGACAACCAGTCTTTCATTTCCCCAATCTAGTAACGAATAACTAGCCAAAATGGGACAGAAAGGTTCCTCGCACAACGAGAAAGCCCAGTTGGCAGATACACTATCGGCCGCCCATCCCGCGATTCCTTGGGTTATCGGAGTAGAGTTTGCAGATGCAGCCTGCACACATGGCAGGAATTTGATCATCGAGCAGTCTTCTCTAACGCCTCAACAAATAAGTCCGTGAGCGCCTAGACAAATAGGTCCTTTCGTGCCTTCAGAAGGCATCATGGAACTCGGTCGGTACAGGTTGCGAAGTGTGGGTTCATAGAGGAGCAGCGGTTGATGTGTTCACGTTGCCTAATGTCACAGTTCGTCTGGCAGGTTCAAACCCTTCCTACCCAAGGGCAAAGCGCGAATTCGCTCAATGTCCAAGGTATGTACATGCAAGGGTCATCAAGGTGCTCGCTGAACGACTGGCAGGTTCAAACCCTTCCTACCCAAGCGCAAAGCGAATTCGCTCAGTGGCCAAGGTATGCGCTTGCAGGGTCATCAAGGTACTCGCTGGACAAGTTACAACCAGTCTTTCAATTCCCCAATGGTCCGTGTGCCTGGTAACGAATAACTAAGAAATGAGCCAAAGATCAGACACAAAGGTGAGATTAGTGACCTCTTGTAGCAGAGCCACTCCTTGAGGCTCCGCAGATAGGATGATGTAACCACATCGTCCATGCAAATGCGTGCGGCGGGGGTTCTTGCAGGGAACACTAGCGATCCTGAGAGTTGGGTCGCAGACTGCCTGACGTCAACGGAGGCACTGTCCTGGTTCATCTAACAGATTGAGTTACAGCCCAGGGGCGAAGCATGTCTCTAAACATGCTGGGAGAAAAGACAATCTTCTGATCACGAAGAATAGTTCAGGTGCATGATCCGTGGAAGACCGATGAGAACAGGTATGGATGCTGGTATCATGGAGGCCTTCCTACCCAAGACAAAGCGCGAATTCGCTCAGTGTCCAAGGTATCCAAGAAGGAAGACAGAGATGATGTGTTGGGAAAAGCGCGAATTCGCCCGGTGCCCAAGTTGCATGGACGCCGTCTGCCTACTTCCCTCCAGTTCATCAAACTTTCTTGAGCGACTGCAATACTCTGTGTCCGACTTCTGGCCTCTCAGCCTGTGTAGCCAGTCTCCGTTATCGAGATCTTTGTCCCGTCGAAGTAGTGCTTGAGAGGGTCGGAACCTTCGATGTCGTTCTTGATAATAACGTTTGGGCGAACCTTGCAGCTGCGACTCTGATCATGAGGAGGCACGTAGCGGCGTCCACGGTCACGCATCGCAACCTCCTTGGGGAATCAAAACTCAGTCTTTTTTTTTTTTTTTTTTTTGGATTCTCGAAATTTACGTGCAATAAGTAGTCTAGTACTAAGACGCACGGGAAGCGTAAGGCTTCCCTTAGATGTGATTATGTCCGATGGGCCTCCATTTAAGTGGATATTAGTGACTGTTGTGTAGCTGTAAGGTATAGAGAAAGTCAAGGTTTGGGGTATAGGGTCCTAGGGATGGGAGTCATCAAAACTCAGTCGTCCACATCGAAAACTATCTTTGACTGAGCAGTTACAAATTAAACTTGAAGCATTACCAAAGAGCACGTTCCCGCCATAGTTATTAGTCGCGCAAGGGGAAAAAATCATAGATATATTTTGTATTATATTTTCAACGCATTCCACGCAAAGTCAAATAGTAAG